TCCATAACTGATGTTTGAGTTCTGTACTGACTTGCAGTGCGTCATGTACAGATGCCAAATACAAAGGAACCCTAAACTACAGCAGCTCCTTCAGTGCTTCGAACAATTGATAACTAATTTCTGTCAGTCAAAAGCAGTCTTACCACTTTTAACTGCATCAGGTACTTCTGGCTAAGTGTGCATTCCGATGAAAATATATAGCACTGTGATCACTCTGATGTCCTCATTTCACTCTTTTCCTCTTGTTGCTTTCCTTATAAAGAAAAATAACCACCCTGCATTTAATGGCCGTGGTCTTTGGGACAGTCTTTGACTATAAAATATCTAGGTCGTCTTGAACTATGTTCTTTGCTTCTTATCTCTTTTACAATTTCTTTATTCCTCATGGAATGACAGCCTCACTGTTCTGTAAAAATTGGTTAGAGTAGATGGACAGAGTATTTAAAATAAAGCCCTCCCTTGGTTCTGCTGAGCTGGTGCAGCCTGTACATTTTTCTTCTGCTTGTGAGAGCTATGAATCATTGCAGCTGTACAGGTTTGTCCAGTTCTTCTGAAACATCCCATGGTAGTGTACTGTATTACTTTACTTTGAATTTGGGAATACCTCAAATTCTTTACTCCATGGTAGTCATTGATTGTTTCCTCTAACGTTCCAAAAGTGACCGAGGCAGCTGCTTTTAAAGTTTGCTTTAGCACATATGTGCATTAAATACTTCTGCCTAAAAACAAGGCTGCCTTCTGAACTTCAGTTGTTGAAAGAATAATCGAGACAACTATTTAATGCAATCTTTGTCTTGCAAAAGTTTCCTTACGTAGGTTAGACACACCTTGTGGCAGGTGGCAAGAGGACTGTAATATAACATGATACCATCTTTGAGTGTATTTGTAAGTTTTGTCTGACATGAACAATACTTTTGATTTTGGATGGTAAATCTATCTTTTTGAGCTGCTTGAAGTAAAACTCGTGCCTTAAAAATTGTTTTAACTGTGGGTTGTGAAATTTACTCTTAAGAAATTACTACAATATATTTTGTTATCCTGATGCTTCTTTGATCTTAATACATTTTGGTGACACTCAGTCACTTGGGTTTTATGGTGAAAATGCGGTGCTAGATCTTTACCCTAGCAATAACAACAAATTACTTTGTAAATGTTGGTCACTTGTTTGCCTGTGTGAACCAGAAACTTCCAATAAAAAACCCCTATATATGCAAATCCTTCTAATGCCCAATATGTAGTGTTTTGCTTTCTCTGACATAAACTCATTCCACCTGCCAACAATATTTAATCTAATTGCAGAGTTCTGTTTATTTGGCAAGGTGTGACTTGATGTAGGATAATTTTTATTTTTTTACATGCAGAGATGCAAGTGTAGCCCAACGTAAGCAGGCATGTTGTGAGAAAGCAGATAATCACGACAACTGAAATGGCAGGCAAATGCAATGTTGTATTCTGGACAAGCCGAGCAACTACTTTGCGTAAATGGCAAGTGGATTGCAGAGTATCTGCATGCCAGGGCAAGCTGTTTCCTGCAAAAACCACTCATCAACAGCAAAAGCAGTAAAACTGTCAGCTACCGAATAGTAGAAGTGGGAGCATCTCGGGGACCAGTGCTCTTGCATCGCTCTGGCCTTACTGGAGTTTGTCTCCTTTCTGCATGGCATTCACTGCAGAAATTCCCTATACTATTTTTTCCCCCTGTGTGCTTATCCCTCAGCTTGGCTGACCGGCTGGCCTCAGCTGAGGTCAGCAGAGTGGCAGGTGCCCGGGTGTCCTGAGCTGGGTGTCTTGGATGCTGCACCCCGGGTCACACGGGCACACACACGC